CTCTCTCTCTCTCTCTCTCTCTCTCTCTCTCTCTCTCTCTCTCTCTCTCTCTCTCTCTCTCGCGTGGTCTTCTTTTTCCTCTCTGGCGAACGGCCTGGTAAAGTCTGCTGTGTACTACGTCTTTCGACCTCACCCTGACAAGAATACACGTCACGCTCGAACAACTCACTCTGCACTCTTCCTATATCTCTCCCACCTTCCTTCCTTCCTACCATTTGCGCCGCGTTTCTTCCGTTCTCATTTAAGCCAGCCAGACAAGAGCCTGGATTCGCCAATGCCTGGTGCCTGGCTCTCGCCTCTCCTGCGATTCCGTATCGTGGGGAGGTGATCCGCGAGCGGAAAAACCCCCCGAAGTCGTTCGCGCGGATTTAAATATCTGAAAACGGCAGGGAAAACGCCCTTTTCGCCACGCGTTTAGTAAGCCCTGTTTCCCTTTTTCTTTTCCCTCCGCGTCGGTCTCTCACGCGCTAGAGCGTCAATCTCCTATCAGACGGGTCCCGGCCTCCATCGTCTTACTGTTAAAAGCCGGGCTTCTTTTCTCTCCTACTCCCAATCTCGTCTCCGCTTCCTCCACTTTTTGCCGTCTGAAAGCCCGATAGACTTACAGCGCTGGCTGTGCGCTTATCTCCGAGTTGCGTGCGAGTATACGTGCGAGGGAGCTTACCGATATAAAATGGGTTGAATTTAGGCGAAGTTTGAAAGGAGACTATTAGTTCAGCGTTTTGCAGTATTGCATTTACCGCATAGAATCTTCTGTATTGCTTCATTCGACAATTTTATATGACGATTTTCGTCAATCCGTGGCTGATACATTAATAAAAATATAGCGATTCTATATTATTAACAGTGGTAAACAGAAATATTTGATAGTATAAAAAAAATTGAAAGAATAAAACAAATAATTTTCTTTTATTGTAAAGATTACGTTGCATTTTAATTAAATCGAGACAAATATTTTGCGAAATATCTGACGGAGCGCCATCCCTTCAATCTGAAATACCCGAATACATGTCTCGTCGGTGAAGTATCTCTTAACTAAAATTTGATCGGTATTTACCTGAGTTATAGTGGCAGCGCGAACGTAGCTCAACTTTCGCGAATCCCTTTAAGCTACGTACACACAGTTAATAGATCAGACCGCGCGATAATCGGATCCGCCGCTTCGGTACGGCAATAACGCCGTTCTCTCTCCCCAATCCGGGGGGGGGGAGCTCTCATTTTTCGGCGGGCGTCTTTAATTAAGATCTTCCGTGGAAATTTCCCTGGCGTATTCGGCCGGGGACTCATCGAAAGCGCCCGCAATTCCTCGATAAACCGCGTTGAAAGGAAACTCGTTAAAACCAATCTGCCCGGGATCGGAGTCGATCGTTTTGCACCATTCGACTCATTCGCAGCGAGCGGGAAGAAGGGACGAAGGGTGAAACCCGAAATCGGGTGAGGGATCGCTGAAGCAAGAGACATCAGCAGAAAGGCGATTAGAAAGAGTGTCTAAAAAGCGACGAGGAGGTTTCGACGTTGCCTATGCGGAGATCGGTGCTCGGGGCGACGAAATCTTATTTCTGATCACATCAGCTCTGTCATCAAGGAAGGAAGTAAGCGGCGATCTAATTAAAAACTTCCGGAAACTTGTCCAATCGATCCTCGCGGCGGTTTGCAATTGACGTGTTTATCAGCATAGTCAAACAGATGAATTAAAAAATTAAGAACGCATGGGAGGGAGAAGTTGGATAGGGAGCTGTCTTGTCTTTCTTGATCTCCACTTGAGATGCTAATGGAGAGAGAAGACAGAGAGCAAATAGACATAAAGAAGAACATGCAGTCGGGGAAGAAAAGCAACTATACAGAAGGAGATGGAGAGAGGAAGAAAAAGAAAGAGAGAGATGGAGGACGAAAACGGGTTGATGGAGGCAACTACTAGACGTAGAAAGTGAACGTGGCAGGTCGACCCGGACGGGAGGGTAGATAATTAGACAAGAAACACAGGCTCGCTCCGGCATCTACCCTCGCGCCTCCTCACAGCCTGGCACTACCTGCTTCATCCGATCTCCTCCCCCGTTCCCGCTCGTGCCCGTATCCTCTTTAATTAAATATAAGCGACAGGCCTATCCCTGTTTCTCAAACCAAACCGCCCGCCTCCTTCCTTTCGTACGCATCCTTCGGTGCTCTCGCGGCTGCCAGCCGCGTATCTATGTTTATACGATGGAGGCACACGTGTGCTCCTAAATTACAATAACTCATGGCTCTGCCAAGTAATTCCGGTGCACATTACGCAATCATTTTTAACGCGAAATCATAACTTCGCAAAATCTCGAACAAATATCTAACGAAATATTCTTTTAATATATATTTTGCTATTCTTCCATTCTCATATGACTGCATGTTTAAATATAATGATTTTCGACGAGAAAAGTAAATTATTTTGAAGTAAAAAATTTTCAAATAATCTTAATGTATTTTTATTTATAAGAGAATATAAACGCGATATATGGTACTATAACAATATATTTATTATTTTAAGTAAAGCATGCAATCTCCTCTATAATTATATAAACGTATAATTAAGATAACTACGGTTATATCTGTGTATAATTTCCATTTCTATCGCTATTGGTCTTTCTACTTGTCTATTAGTCTTTCTTCCCGACTTGCTGGTTACGAACTATTAGCGAATGTCTTCGAAGTAGTTATTTGTAATTCTGTAGTGCGATTTAAAGTTTCGTGTTCGCTTCGAATTACCGGCGACTCGGTGGTAACAATTACCTTGAAAGCATGGTGCGAAGCCTCGAATTCTCGATTAACATCGCCACTTCTCTGCCTTTCTGAGCCGAACAATTGTCCGTTCTCCCGTTTTATTGTCGAACTCGACTTCGCGGAACTGTTATTTGCTTTCTCAACAAATGCGTCATTAAGATTAATTTGTTTCGTGGAATTTATGACAAAACCATTGCTAGAACCAGATTTCTGAGCAGCATTTATCGAATAATTGTCCAAACTTTGTAATGATACCGCTGTATCAATCCTTGAACTATCTTTGCCATTAATCGAGTACGGCTTGACACGTGCTCTTCGCCGCTGTCTGTCTACGTCCAAATTAAAACCCGTTTGCGGTTGACTAGGCGACATCTTAGCTTGATACGTATCTCCATATGTCGTGTAATAATCATTGTCCCGTTTTATATGTTCATAATCATACCTATTTCTGTACTGATTCTTCTCCTTTCTATCTTCATTTCCCGCGTAAAAAGGCGGCAACAGCGCGTCATTACGATTCAAATTATCAATCGCAGAACTTCTGCGATTTGCATCACGATTGTTCCAAGAAAATCCAGCGACTTCCATATTATCCGCTGAGGGAGATAGTCGATGCCCGTCTACGTTGTCCGCCGGTGACTCGAGGAAATTTTCGATCGATCGCCTGTGCGTGTTCAAGGAGTCGAAAACTCGGTGAAATATCCGTTGATAAGTTTGCCCTTCGCGTTCGGGGATCGTGTTGTTTGAGTGTGTTTGACCCTCCACGAGCCGCGGCGATATCGGGTGATCCGGTAGAAGAGAAATCGCGGGGAGCGCGGTAGTCGTCGGATAATCCGCCGGCACCACGTGAATCAAATGCTTCTGACCTCTTCGATCGGTTCCCAGGATCAACCTCGGTGTCAATTGATTCGCTTCTTCCTCCAGTTTTTCCTCCACGGGTCCCAGCCGGGGTCGATGTCGAGGTCTCATATTCCTGAGTTCGTGCTTCCGCTCGGACGATTCCTCTTTCCCGGTCGTCTCTATGCTCACGGTCTCTTGAACGGAGAGAGCGCGGTTATCCTCCTGCGGTATCTCGTCCCGACTGGCGCTCGTTCCGTCAACGGAGTTCGGTTCCGTCAACCGCGCGAAATTCTTCGATCGATGATGGTGCACGGAAAAGTTGTTTTCGAGACCGGTCGGAGGATTTTCCGGGCCATTGTCGTGCTGCGTTCTAATCATCGGGATCGGCGTCCGTTCCCCCTGTGGCGTCACGTAAACGTAGTAATTCGGCCAGAGATTGCTGGCGTGGAAATGATCGCTCGCTTGCGGCATTATCGTCAGCTGGAGATCGTGTCGCGCCAGGATGGAATTCGGCGGTTGCTTGATCCTCCGCAGAATCCACGTGAATAGGGGATTCCTCTGAACTGCGCATGGCTCGCAGTCGACGCATCCGTCCTGGCATAGCATCCAGTGGCCGTTTAGCAGACGATAAACGTTTCCACGCGACAGAATGACATTCTTGCCGTCGTCCGAGTACGCGGCGGCCGGCCCGCCGTAATAGGTGGCATCCAACGGGCGCTTGTAGGGCGCATTGGCATCCAGCGGCGACGGGGCGACCGATTTGAGGATAATCTCGCGTAGCATGTACTCCCAGGGTGGCACGAGATGCCACGAAAGTGGCGGTACCGCGGCATTGTATCGCTGCGTCTGCCTGAATGGAACGCCGTGACCCAGAGTAAACAGAAGGAACTGAAAGGAGATTCAAGTTACGACACCGCGAATGTTTGCCCGAATAACGAGTATTTTTACGATGCACGGCGCATCGCAGTTCGTTCGCAAGCTAAACTATAACATTTCCCGGACTCCCTCAAGGCTATGAAATTATTGTTCGGTGCATTTCAAATGCACGTGCGTATACGTATACTCGGACGCGTTTCGTGCCGATACGATCGAGAGACAGTCGCGAGACGAATCAGATTCCGCGTGATAGTATAAAGCTTTTCTCTTGAACCGAATATATTAAACATATACTTTAACCGGCCGACTTATTATTAGAAAAAACTATACGACGCTAGTTACATATAGAAAATGAAAGCTGAAATGAAATCTGTCGCGAACGGGCGAGCGATAGAGAGACGTCAGTAAGAGTGTAATAACAGATTAATAACGTCGAATGTAGAACGACACTTAAAAAAATTGAATTGTTCACACTCACCGTCACCACGGCGTACCTTTCCTTGGACGTATACATCATTTCAGAGCTGCGACCGTCGTCGCACTGACGAGATGTCCGGGGAAATCGCGACGGAAAGCGGCTGTCTCTCACCTGACGTACGAGCAAATCATGAGGACGACGTTGCCGTTGTGCTATTGAACGCCGAGATGTCCAGCTAGATATCGGCCATCAAGAATTGCTGACATTACTCACGGTTAAACATTCGCGATCAAACAACGTAACTCAAACACCGCTAATGCCGGCTTTATCATAGGTAATTCGAGAACGCAGCTATACGTAGCGTAACGAGACTGCTGCTGAATCATTCATATATAAAGAAACAATACTTGAAATATATGAAATCTTTTTATATTTTGCCAAGCATCTTTCGATGATGAAGGAACGTGAGGGACTAATACATGTCTCTTTAGAAATAGATTTTTCCAATAATTCCTAGTTTGTGTGACAGAAAAAAAGTCTAACTTAATTAAGTCTGAAAATTACATTTATACGTACGTTGCAAACAAAATTCTAGATAGGGGAGAGAAATATATTTTTAGAATCTATTAGACACTTTATTTAATCTGTTGGTTATCGAACTTTTTAATCTGGGGTGACTTATTCGCATTGCCTCTCTAGTCTGCGTGTATAAATCGGTTAGGAAGTAACCGATTTTAATTTATCCCAGCGATACGGGAGGATTCATCATCGTCGCAGGATGAATGTGCGTACGTATAAATACACGATCGAGCTGACATTGATCGTATCTGTCTAACGGAAACGCTCGAGAATATCATATCCGGGTGCTCGATAAAATATATACGATTCGATGTAATCTCTGCGGTAGTGTAGCCTAGCTTGAATCTATTTCACGTTTCGGTCTATCGGCCACGTGCAGTTACATAAACCGTGCCGAGTTTGTGGAGAAACGACTCGCGGTGAATTACTGTTCATTAACCCGTCGTATCGATGATGTTTGATCAACAATAAAGATGATTAAAAAATACGCCTAGATTACGCGCAGTACATTTTGTTTATTATTCTTTTTATATGAAATATGTATTGTTCAGAAAATTATTTGTTTGATACTGATGCTGTGTAAATACACAGTTCCAATTATTATATATATTCAAAATATCTGAAAAATGTACTAAAATTAAAAATAATTAAATAAATAACACTGTTTGAATATACATTTTTTTAAAGCAACCTACGAGTAATAAGAGAGTAATATTTTTTTAATAAAGTATTGAACGTATTATTTTAGTTTCATAAAAGAAACATAAAAGAATGATAAATAGATTTGGTTAAGTTCTTAAAACTTTTAATGAATAAAAAGTGGTATAACTAATACAAATATCTTCCATAGGGGTACGCTACTTGTCGATTATATCAGTGGCGCCAACTGTGAAGATACAGTCACAACTTCACCTCCCCTAATCTACCGGATAAGGGATGAATGCAGGAACAGAAGGCAATTAATTTTCAAAATTGACAATTCAGTCAACATCTTTTGCAGTAACCACACTTGTGTTTAATGATCAAGAAGTTAAATGTAATTATGATTCTCATGTGATTCCCCCCCCCAAAAAAAAATCAATTATTTGTGTACGAAATGGCTACTCAAATGTCGGAAGCACCAACAGCAGCTAACATCAACGTCAGTCTGCAAATTTCTCTTCCTCAAATGCTCGATCTTGCTCTCGGAGCACCAGAAGTAAAGCAACAGCCTACCTATTCATCATTCCTCATTCATCTTATAGATGAGCGATTAATAAAATTATTGATTTTAGGTTGGCGCGGTTAATTTTAATATTCTTCATAATTTCCTCCATATCTTGTTGCATCAAATAAATTTGCAGACTACTAAAGTTGAATTTCATGGCGAAGACGCGGATCGCATTAAAGTAAGAAAAATAACACGCCGAGTAATTGAAAAAGAGAAAAGTGGCAATTTTTTTCTTTACGCTCACGTGAGAGCTATTGCAGAGAATGTCAACAGCCATGAAGCCGGATGCTGCTCTTCAGCTTCAAGAGTATGATATTACCGATGCTACCGGCGAACAATTGCAACAAATTCCAAGAGACGGCGATGTACTTACAACCGCTGATGTAAATACAGACGGTACAAACTCGTAATTCATATTTCGAATTCCTTATTTGCTTAATTAATCATAAATTATTATAGCAAAGTAGATTTAATTTGAATAAGCTATTCAACTGCTTGCAGAAAAAATTTTGGAAGTGAAAAATATGAAACAAGAAATAAATTCTGAGGGAGTCCCCGAAGCTCAGAGGGTCGTATCGGTCGTGAATAATTCTCGTCCTACGGCAACGGCGTTCAAAGAGCTCGAACAATCTGTGTGTAGGATAAATTATTTTTATAATTGATATTATGTGCGATGACAGTACGTTTCATTCTGATAATCGATAATTTTATCAACAGGTAAAACAGCTGCAAGAACGGTATCAAGCCTTGGAGGACTTGCCTCCGGAAGTCGAACGTTTGAAGGACAGAATTGCAGATCCCGCCGCGGATATAGTTAACATCAATAAAAGATTGGACGCCAGTGAACAAGGTATCGATAAGGTATATTGCTTGCTAATCTCGTAAACTTCTCGCGGATGACACTTAAGCATCGCTGATATTTTGATAAAAAAATAAATAAATATAAAAATTAATCCTTAAAATATTCAAATAGTAGAACTTAATTTTTATTAATGTATTAAATTATTGCTACAGCTCACGACGATAGTACAAGATGTGATCAAAGGCGATGCTGGCGTAGTAACGGCGGACACATCTTTGATTAATGCGAGACTGGATGAACTCGAGGATAAAGTCTCCAAGATGCAGCAATGGCTTATCAATCTGCAAGCAATTGTCGATGTTTTAACTGAAGATACAACCGAGCCAGCTACTGGTATTGAAGCAGCAGTAAAAGAAGAAGCGGAAGAAGCAACAGTAGCGGCAGCCGCAGAACCAGTAGAAGTCGCAGCAGTCAAGGATGAGATCGTACCAAACCATGAAAAGGAAGAAAATGCGAAGGAAATCCCTAAAGTGGCAGCTAATGAAATACGCAAAGTGACACCTGATAAGGTCGCTGCACGAGTGTCACTAATTATGAGTAAGAAACTTAATGATAATTATGTAAAAATTATTCTAATGTCAAAAGCATTGTTACTTAGAGTCTATATAATGTAGTCGCCGTCTTAATTTTTGAAATATATTGGAAATAGCATATTGATTAGGAAATATATTTAGATGAAACTGCTATAGCAGAATTACGCCAAGATGTTACTACATTAAAAACGGATGTAGCTCATATACAGCAGGATCTGCAAAATCTGAACGAACGAGTTGCGAGTACGTTGACAATTTTTATATTCATCTTTTTTTTTATTCTATTACGTATACTTTATCCTTGAATACAGAGACCGAAATACCAACAACCGTTATCGGTGCACCAACGGTAAAAGAAGAGCTTGTTGTTAAAGAACCGATTAAAGATAAGGAAAAAATAGCCGAAGTAACCGATGCCGCGAACTTGAAGCAATGCTTGGAAGCTGTGAAAAATGTAGAAGCAACGCACGGCGAAGCGTTGCAGGAGATTACGCAACGCGTAGTTTTACTGGAGACGAAAATTAGACATTTGTTAGAAAAAGTGGAGAGTATGCAAGAAGTCGACAAGACAGATGACGAGGAAATTAAAAATCTTGTTGCAAAAGTGCAAGAAATTGAAATGGATATGGAGAAAATCGGACAAGCGATGGGCAAATTGCTCGATGATAAAGAGAAGCAAGAAACGGACATTAACGTACGACTTTTTAATAATATAATAAAATGAGACTAATTAAAGCATTGCCAATCTTTTGCGTTAAATAGCATTTAAGTCTAAATTATGTAAGAGCAGCTACCTTTTATATAATTTATTTGGGCTATCATGATTGATGATTGATAACACAATTGATGACATTCTGACAGGCACTACTAGAACAAATAGAACTTCTAAAAACCGTCAAAGCGAACAAAGAGGATCTCGAAGATGCCTTGGCCGACAAAGCGGATACTCAAACCGTGGAGAGAAAGGTATAAAGTATTGCCGAATCCGCTGATCCGCTCATTGTTGATAGAGTTTAAAATTCTATAAAAATTACTACAGGTATCATATGATCAATTTGATACTGCCTGCGATGATCTCACTCGTGGTTTTGAGGAAGCGATCGACAAACTGACTAAACAAGAATCGATTTGGCAACAAGCGCTTGATGAAGTGCAGAACGAAATTTCGACCAAAATGGACAAAGTCGAGATGACGCCACTAAAGGATTTTGTGAACAATAAATTAAAGTCGCTTCAAGAAAAGTTGAAGATTATGATTGAAGCGAGACGGGAAATTGAGGCAGCGGGAACGAAGAAGCTGCTTAGGTAAACATTTCAGGCTCGCAAATAAGACTTTAACGCGATGCTGACTCCCTTCTCTTTCATTCAGAGACGTTCAATGTATATCGTGCGACAAGGATGTCGTGATGAAGACAGAGGAGATCACTACATTTCGCGTCGAGCCGTTCCCTTGCACCACCAGCTTGAAACCCTATCTCACGTACAAGTTGGACCAAGTCAGGAAACAACAGAAAAGATTGCCTCACGGTAGAAATATGATCCAATTTGAAGCAGCAATGCAAGAGGAGACAAAGAAGATGAAAGCGAAGGAGGAGCTCGCGAAGACTAAGTAATTGATATTACAATATTTCATGTCATCCCGGAATCTCGAAAAAATATATCTCTAAGAAATGATACATTAAAACGGCGATAAATATTAAAATTAATAAAGCATGAATTGTTCTTTTCTAAAAATTATCGAGATTATCTTCTTTCAAAATTATAACTGCAGCCATAACGGAGTGTCTTTCGGAGTTTTTAAGTATCTTAATAATAATATGGTGTTATCTTAAGTTCGATAAATCTGACGTACTTAGAGATCATCTCTGCAATCGGTACTGCGGCGGGAGTCACACGATCACGACTCCTCAGCAAAGAGTCATGAGGATGGGGCACTTCTTTACTCAATGGGGACCCGAGACGATACAACTAACGGACGGTTTGATAAGGGGAAAAGACGGTCAAATGTATCGCAGTCGGCCCATGCGAGATAAATCGGACGTTTGCGAGCCAAGCTGTTGGGAGAATCAGATTAGCGAGGAAACTGGACGCTCGGTGAGTATCAGCATGAACTAGTGAGTCATCATAAGTATAATAATTCATGTATTCATTTCACTCGCGAAGTGTACTGTTGCACCTTCACAACTCTCTCAGGAATGTACTTCGACAGCGCATCGTAAATCCCTACCGTCTCTCGACGAAATAACGCTGGAAACAGTGAGTAAATGATACACTTTGCTTTCAAAGAATTTAGTATTTGACAGAGATCATCGGATATTAAATTGAATTACATACGTTAGGTAATTATCTGTAGTAATCTTTCGTATTCTTTTTTGTCGCGAACGACAGAAAATCGAAACTCAGGGAAACTCTAAGAATCGAGAGAACCGAAAGTATCGGAACCGGAGGTATATTATAAGCGTTTCGTTAGTGAAAATTTAAGCTCTTCATGCAATTTTATTTAATTAAATTACAATGTTTGATTTGACACACACAGGCAGTAATAACGGGTCAAGTAATACCTTCACAAGAAAATGACGATCGTTTGGATGTCAGAACAAGATTATCTTAAACAAAATTAACGAAGAGCTAAAAAATAGAATAACTTAAATAAAATATACATAGCACAAAGGAAATTTATTACAATTGACATTATTGTATGTCTTCTAAAAAACGATTTACGCTTTATACAATCTTGTGAAATCTCTTGCACAAAAATTTTCTATTCTCTATTCTGTAAAATGATTTTTTCTTGGGTTATTTAAATGAGAAGATAGCGAAACTGCGACTGAAATCACGATCAAGCTGGAGTTATTAATAATTTTATTATTAAGAGAAATTTCCAGAGTACACAAGACTACCTAGTGAAGTCGATTTGGAACATCGGTGGTCTGCTTGCTAAAACAAAAATATTGGCTCGCACTTCACGTTTACGGCCGTACGAGACCGCGTTCACAGAATATTGCACATCGCCGTTCGAGATCCCCCTTTTTTTACGTAAAGGGCGTGCACAGCGCTCAAGATATTTTTTTTTTTTATTGGACTCACTCCACTTTTGCTCGATCTTATTTTACGTATCCTACAAACGAGAACTACGCGCGCTAGTATAGTCATTTATAATAATATATATTTATGTATATATTACGTAATCTAAATGCTACTTCATACAAATTTCAAGGTACAGGAAGTATCTACACAAGTTAGTGTCTACCATATAATTTACGTACTGCCCTTCGACAAATAGTAATTTAATCTACGTGTACGGAATCTAGAATTACTATATATAAGTTACAGCTCTATGACTTCGCGATTAAATTAACGGGCGCACGGAAACTTCACCGCCATCGCATTCAACGACACGAATGCAATAAATATAATAAGGAGAAATAAACATATGTATAGATTATTAGTGTCAATGATCGGGCTATAGAGACAATATAATGCCTTAAACATTAACATATACGGATATGCATTATCGATTACAGTTAATAATACTGGCAGCTTAAAAGTACGACGTATGAATTACACTCAACCTAATTAGACGCGAAAGTAGAGAGTGCCTCGCTCAACAATTCAAGTGCTTCTGCGATCGCGAAATTTAAACGTCTGCTTTAAATTGGGAAACTAATGCCTCGCGCTTCTCTTCAATTTAAACGGTTAAACGATCAAACGATACTATCGGCTAATTTTTTTTACAACACGCTGCCGGCACTCGCTACTTCTCTCACCGTAGAGGTTCCCTACGTCACTATAGTTAATGTTAAGCAAAACTTCTCTCGCTCGCGCGGCCATCGAAAAAAATTCGCTCACAACCTCTGGCGAATCGAATTTCTAACTCGAAAAATTATTGTAACACCACGGACGTCTCATCATCGCGCCTGAGTGGCGCGTCGTTGCTGATTCTACGTAATAATAATAGCAAGATTAATTTATCTTTATTATCGTTATCGCGCGCGCTCGCGCGAGAACGCCGACGAGCGCGCGCGGACAAGGGGAATTAAGTAACAGATCACAGGTGAAACTAGGCTATCTCTCTCTGTAACAAATTAATATCACATGAAAAAATATGTATCGGTTGCATCCTATCGCAAAAATTTCCCGCGAATGTCCTTCGAGTGGAACTCTCGGACGGATGACTCGATGATATAACGAGCCACCGACTCGGTTCAGACTGTCTGATCACTATCATCTGTTTCCACTTTCTTCGCGCGTTTCCGATTGTATATCTTTGCGAAAACGCTCATTTATCATTTTCTTCGACTCGCAATTTCTTCATCTACGAAGTTACACAAAACCTTCGCCCCATCCAATATTCGTAATCGATCCCGAGCCAACCTGACTGTCGTACGCTTGCTTATCGTTCTAAGCCTACTTTAATCACTTATCAACGATGAGACGGACAACTAAACCCTGACTAAATGATTACGATTAGAAGTTAAAGTTTGGCATTTCATTCGCGCTCGTTTCGCGCGTATCCAGCCTACAAGCTCCGCGCCACGTTCCTCGACTGGATATTAGGATTAGTTTTACTTTGGCTTCCGGCACGCGTTGCGGACTGCTTTCGCACTCTAAATACGCCTTTCAATCACATCTTTCCCTCTTATCTAAATTATACCGTTTTGTAAAGCAGCGTTTCTGATCCCATTTGAAAAGATTTCTTTCGTAGAATCCGCATTAGTCGCGGATTCGAGGAACAATCGGAAAAAACGTCTTCAAGAACGTATTCTCGCGTATACTCCTGCTAAAATCATCGATCCCGAATTCGTTATCCTTCGCGAGAGTTTATTAACGGTCACCATCGCATCGAACGATAATTCGTATCTGTTTTCAGGTAATTTCGGTTTCCCGCGGGACTCCCGCTACCACGCTAATTTCCGATACCGCTATGACACGCGTTCGTTTCTATCTCGTGCCGCGAAGCATGCGTTTTGCCTATGAGGTAGGTTTGCGCGATGTTTTGAGGAAGACGAAGCGTGTAGAACACCGATCTTTCGAGTCCGAGAGGAAAAGGAGAAGGGATCCCCTAGTGAGAAATGATCGACTGTCAATTTGATGTCGAATCGATGTCAAATTAATGTTCAAATCATTGTATCAATGTCGATTCGACCTCAGTTCGATGAGTCATTTCTCGCTGGGGAAATGGAGGTAAGCAGTTACTGTCCCTAACTGTTCTAGTTTTATCGTGCAATAAAAACTTGGACTCGGTCAAGGAACATGCGAAAGTAAAGCGTCAAAAGGACGACGTTTGTGAGCGGGTATCCTCACGCGGAGCGACCTGAGATTTCTTCACGTAGTTTAAACACTGGCCACTCGCAAACAAATTGCACGGACCCGGACGTTCTCGTCTGATCGATCGCATCGGTGTATCGTTGAGCGGCTTCGCTCACCGTCCACCGTTTACACTTTTGTACTGTACTCGTACTCCCCCTTTCAACATTTTCGCGGCGAAGCGGTATTCCCCGTCGATGCTATTATTGTCCATTATCTCTGGTGCTCTTCGTGCGGAACGGTTCATTCAACCAGAATGCGAATTGATACGGGAGAGGATCTCGCGGAAGTCAACCGCGCGTCTCGCGCGGACTCTCTCTCTCTCTCTCTCTCTCTCTCTCTCTCTCTCGGAAGACTTCCTCGCGCTCGCGAATAATACTTCCTACTTTATCTCGTTTGCTGTATCAAAGCTTATCGTTCATTGCAATCGCGCGCCTCGGCACACGTCGAGGGAGGAGGGGGAAAAAAGAAAACGGATTATATCAAAAGAGGTATTAGGTACAGCGCCTTAAATGGCGCTACGATAGATGCGCTACAAAAGCTGCACTATGACCGGATGCAGGAGACACATGTGCTCGGCACCGCGTATCGGAAGACGATTCACGCTGAAATGACGGACCATTTCCGGTATGTTTTCGAACGGTTTGCTAAACTGCCCCAGAATGTAAGCGTTGAGCTCCTCGTTCTTCTGGATGCGCATATGCATGAAGCCGCGGGCGCTCCTGAAATCACAACGATACAATTATTACGTGAGTCATCGCACTCGAAGGGACTCATAATGTTCAATGAAATTCAACTTACTTTAGGGATAGAGAATAATCTTGCTTGGTCGACTCGCTGTTCCTCACCAGATAGCTACCTTCCTGATGAACTCGCAGAAGACCCTCCGCCTCGATGCGAGTGATAGAGCCGTGGTACCATCTGAATAAAAAGTCTCTCTTCAAATACCATGTATTAATCCGCGAAGTATTTTAGTATTGTGAGAACGTTTCGCGGAAAGTACTTTGGCAGAATTTAAAGATGTATGTACTATACAAGTACGAGCGCACGAATGAGAGCACGAGCGCGTAACTTTGAGAATGTTAACGAGCTCATTAGTGGTACTTCAGTCGTATTAAAATCCGTACATTAGCGAGGTAATACCATGTCCTTCTCCTCCGCATAAAAATAAAATGTCTCGAAGTAACACGGTGACAGCTGGCAAAACACTCACCCTTGTCTCTCCAACGGAAGCTCCACGTCAACCAGATCGGCCGATATTCGAGCGGTACTGATTTCCAGCGGTAAGCCGAGGCTTAGGCCACCGGGTTTCTTCGGCACCAATTGACCGCCCGGATTCCCACCGCTCGTTCCCGCCGCGTTACTACCGGCATCCAGATTCAGAGTCATCTTCGGACGCGCCAGACCGCCGCCTGAAATGAGTCACCCGACAGTTAGACGCATCCGGTCGCGGAGCTCCCGCCAGTAAACACCGATGATATACCGGCTATGCGGAATTGTCGGCGATCTATCGCCGCGAGCTCTATGATCCCTTAATAATTGCCACAAATCAGAACTTGGATACGTTGAAATCCAAGTAACGGGAGAGTTGAGTTGCATCATCCATGAAAAATTATTACGGGATTATCAATATATGCTTTGTCATTATTCTCAGTGATAAAACAACTGCTAATAATCTTATAACAATTTTTTATGAATAACTCTACCTAAAACTATGGTTTAAATTAAATTAGAATGTGATGTTGATATTTAGTATCAAATATCATGAATAACAGTAAACGATTATAAAAATTCTTAATATTGTTAAAATAATACTGTAACTAATTGTCATTAAATAATCTTGAAATTAAACGAAAGTAGCGTGACCTGCATATATTTGACGAATGTAAGACATAAATTGCTTCCTAAAGAAATCTTTCTCGAAGGTGTCAAGCCACTCTACCACACAGTGTCAAGTGTTCGCATTCAACTTTTTACGGTTTTATCTGATTTTTTGCCTTGATAATATCAGGGTCGAGGGTCCGCCGCGAACGATAATAATCGATGAAGGACACATCAGGGAAACGCCCCTGAATACAGTAGGACGCTAATTTCATTTGTTGGCGCAATCTCTTAGCGGTTGACTTCTCGGACGCGGTACATGACGCAGGTAAAACAAAATTGCTCTGACAGGTGTAACGTCGAGTTAGCCTCCTTTGCGGCTTAATGTGTCCGAAAGGCGCGCCGGAGTGCTTTCGTCTGCACGCATACATATGCAAATATTTTACGATGTCTCGAGAAAAAAGAACAGATAGATACAAGCGAACTATCAGCAGTTACTGGAATTATCAAACGTAAAAAAATTTTAGTAAATTGAGTTTTGGGGAAATAAAATATTATTTTAATTTTAAAATACGAAATTTTGTATCTTCGCAAAAATTTAATTTTAATGATAAATTAAATGTCAATGCAATAATATATGTTATTAAGTTTTTTTTAACACATGACACATAATTTGATCTGATAAATTTTTCGCTGGGAAAAAGTCAATTTTAAATTTGTCATGTAATTTTGCGGAAACAACAACCAGTTTCGGAACATTCTCTACACGCACATCAAATTACGGTAAGAGAAGGACCCCGAAAGACGGCGGGTATCTCTCACGCGCCATTTCTATTCAATTCCTCTTTGCGAAACACGCGTTGCGGGAATGGTTAAACATTAACGGCGCCGAACGGCTAGCGCTACTCGACGAGATTGCGTGCGTCTGTATTATTAAATTCAATCTGGCGATCGGCCCGGCAGATTTATCCGCTTGATTTTCCTCTTCCTTTCCTCCGGCGACGGTGTAAACGCTTTTTTTCTCGTCTCCATCTTTCCTGGAATCTCTTGCTCTCGCGACCATCTTTTGTACAGTGCCCACCCCACGACTAATCTCTCGTCCTGACACTCGTATCCTTATTCCCAGCCTCTCTTCCTCCTCAGACTGTTTTAATATCCGTCTCTGACGGAGATACGTCTCAATCAATTTCTTCGCGGGCTTTCCGACCGCCGCCGCGTGCTCCCGCGGGAAATGGGGGGGCGAAGCCATCGAGAAGTATCTCGGTACCCGGATCGTACGGAGGAACGTCAAGGACATCAGTAAACTCCTCTCCACCGGTGATCATCATACACGAATTCCGTAGCGCGCCTGTTTGTTTTAAGACCACCCAAAGCGTCGGTTGAGTGATGTTACGAAGCGTCGCGCAGAGATAAAGGGAACGGTGATTGCGCGCGGCGTTAGAAAGTCAGAGAAGAGAAATAGCTAGGAGGGGCAGAAAATATTCCTTCGACGGGAGACACGCGAGACGCGCGTCGCCGCAGACGTCTCCAGGGAAATTCATGGTCACGAATGAAACTCCGAGCGGTGACGGGGGGAGGGGTGTACGCGGGAAATCTCGCAGGCGTTTCCGCAGGCCGTCGCGAAGTTACACGCCGTCGCATCGTCGCGGAGACGGGGAACGGAAATTTTAATTCCCCGCGAAAATCAGGACGTATCGCCGGATGTGTCGAGGATGCGGAACGGCTCGTCGGGATGACGCCGCGCGCCGAGAAGTCGAGCAAACCCCCCGCGCCAGCGATTCGTATTTATTGCCGGGCGAAGGAGAGATCGAGGGTGGAGCCCGCCGCAGAGATTTACGACGCTGGCGAATTTACGGCCTCGGGGAGCCGGCGTGTCAAACGCGCCTCGAGAAAGGAGTCAATGGCGATTCCATTGAGTGGCAAGACGCTATTAAATGGAAGATGACACCTTATAACGGCGCAGTCACGGGGACGCACGTAGGCAGTCTGCCGTTTTACGAGGAAAACTTTGAACTGTAAATGCGCGAAAAGAAATCGCTTGGAGCGAAATGTTTCAATAAAATATTCAACGGAATTGCCAAATCGGTCACATTTGCGTGCTGCAATTTACGGCCGTCGTTCTCATTCGGCAGACGTGTAAAAATATTCGCGTCGAAACTCCGTTTCGACTCGGTTTAAGAAAAAAAACTATCGCGCATGAAATAACCGTAAATGGAGGAGAAGACCTCGAAAGCTGCCGGTCACGATGAGCTTGCGATCTTGACGACTCGCCACGAACGGCGTCTTTAGCTGGAACGGCTCGTCGTTACGAGGCTCTCTGCTCTCCCTACCCGTGGAAAATTTCGCAATAGCGCCGAAATGCCCCCCGTACAACAGATGCGAGACCGCCCGCGCCGTTGCCCTGTATAGGCCTCGGAGATCTCTCCGCCAACAGATGTTGCAGTTACACGCCCTTGAGCTCTTCTATCCCTCCCGTCGACGGGCCCTTATCGACGCGATGGCAAACACTTCGAACCTGCCCGGAATAGTTGATACGTTTCGCGATCCTCATGAAATATGAAGTACGATAGGCACCACGTCAGACGTTTCCATCGTACGATTCGAATGGTACTACGTACAATTTGTCCAAGGATCACCGACATATCTCGGTCGACGCTACTGACTGTGATCATATTCATTATTTACGGAATAACTCGCCCTTTTATTTTTTTTATTGACTAATATCAGAAAACTCGAGTTGTTAATCAAACTTCCTAATAGTGAGTGACTTTGTACATTTCTGATACTAGAATCGTTTGTAAAGTATTTAATATTAATATTTAAAAAAATTACATATGCTTCTTCCTAATAAAAAGCTTACAAACAAGTAATAATTTATTTATATTTGTATTAAAAAACAATTTATTTTGTCAATAATATAACGTGTTATTTTAAATGAACAAAGAACATAGTCTTGCGTATATCGTAATGAAACGTCAACTCTTTGAAGTAGCAAAAACGGAAATTATTAAGATCCTTAAGTCTGGCGGATAACGGTATTACATGGTTAGTTATTGGCTTAGTCCTTTGATATCTGATCGTGTCTTTGCCCTCGTCTGCCGGCGGCGGCATGTAACGATCCCAAAGATGATTTCACGGGTGTTGCTGTCGTCATCTTAAAGAGAAACGGGTAGAGAATAATTACTGCGAAAAGAAGGGAGAAAATGGCACAAAGATATACGTTTTAATGTCCATTAAAATAACAAATTAGTTGTTGACACGAAAAATTAATGAATTTCTTAAAACTGATAAATACAATTTTTTTAAATAACAATAAAGATAGTTTAAAACGACGCAGGTGCAAGGTTGCAAATAGTGTAAATAAAATTGGCACGCAAGCAACTTAATTTAATTATTGCGGTTTTCGTGTGTTCGAGCGCGATCATTAAAACACGTTAAATTCTGGTCGCGACGAAGCTCGCCAGTAGAAAATTCCGAGTATGGGCAGCCGAGAGGCGGTTCGCGTCGCGATGGCGTTTTGGATCGTTACCAAATGGATAACAGCAGATAGTCGCGACGCGTGACATCAGGCAAAGAGTACGTGGCCGGATTCTTGAGTCAGCCGAGGATAAAATTGTGTTTATCCGCAGCCGGAAACGATCATCATATGAAGTTTAGTACACACTGTCGCCTGCGTTTGTGCAAAATCCACTCTCCGAGCGACGAATTTCGAAACAGAGCGGCACATATAACATATGCAAGCTCCTCTAAAATTCACGAGCCGTAAAAATTCGTCGGGAACAGAGACGGTCGTTATTAAAATCTGCATTCGCAGAAAACCATGAGAATTAGAGCTCGTTGGCATGCCGCGACATTTTTAATTTCGCTTCGTTAACAAGCGAACGTATGCGCTACAATGGAAGTAAATGATAATTATTGAATTTAATTATGTACAAATGTAATATATATATATATACCTATTTCGGACGCGCGATGTCTTCATTGTCTAACGAACAATGCAAAAATTCAAATCATGTTGTTGTACATCCACAAGGCGTTGATTTGAATCCATTTGCAGAAGTTGACGATACGACGAGCTGTACGAAGTTGCCCCCCCCCCCTCCCTATTACAGAAAATTCACTAACGATCATTACCACCAAATGAATGCTTGTAGTTATGATTACTTGCGCATTCTGGAAAGTCATATTTTGCAAAAGAAAGGGCTAACTTTACGCGCGTATATCTTTTTATTGTTATTTACAACTTTGACTACCATTCATCGCCAATGGACTATCAAATATTACCAATTAACAACCACCAATCGAGTTGTAATGGTTGTTAGTGGATTTTCAGTAGTAGGGAATCAACTTCATACAATTGATGCGACGTCTTTAAAAAAGAAATCTCTAAACCCGATCGCATTCATGTATAGTAGTTCGATCAACTATCAAATGGTCGGTAGATTGCGCGTGCAATATTGACTAAACTGTACGCGGTTTGCGTCTATGAATAGTTACGAAATTGCGGTCCTTCTACGTCGGGGACGGAATAAACAGGATTGGTTTGCAACGAACGTTCGAGGTCACGTCGAAAACAGCGGTAAAATCACGGCAATATCAGTTCCACAACTCACTATAGATAAGTATTCCTCTCGGTCTTTTCGAATGTATCCAGCGCATTGCCAGAGAAATAAAATGAAAAAAATGCGGGATATACTCTTGAAGAGGGAAATTCTTCGTTAAAATCAATCTTCTCTGAAAACATGCTCTCGAATATATGACATGGTCCTTACGACTGAATTAAATCAGTAACACGCGATTTTGATTTTAGATATTATCTTTCCTTCTTTCGTCTCCCCCTTTTTTTTTTCTTTTATTCTCTCGAGCATTTATCCTCGAGTGACAAAAACAAGCTGTTTTTGCGTGAAACTCTTGGCTCGCATTTGGTAGATGAGAATACGGGATCGTCACGCCGGAAAAACAAAGACTCTGATGTAAGTTACACTTAACAACTTCAGTCGTAAACAACCGGAAGAAGTCTTGCGTACGTACGCTTTTTTCTCGCGTTTGCCAAACCTTCCTTCCCCCCCCCCCCCCCCACGGCCACGGTTATACCCAACGAAGCGAGCCGAGCCCAGATATCACCGCGTCAATGCAGTTTTTTGCCTCCCTCTTCCCTTCTTCTTTGGACCGTTAACGATCGCCACTAGCTGTGAGTTCACGTGGTCGGCCATTAAACGGCCTACGCGCGAGACAGATGTGCTCGTCGAGATTGCGACTATCAATTTTTTCGCTGTCGTAAACGACCTAAAGCGGTGATGTAAAAAAAGTCGAATGTATTTATACAGACCGAGTGCGCCGTGAGACAACTATCTTCTTGCTCTCGTAAGATCTCTATGTCGTTTGTTATAATTTATTATTTCATTCCATTATATTTATTTCACCGATAATGCCGCCTATCGACGGGGTCGTTTCAACGTTTAGAAGGGACGGTCGGAAAGGGGACAGTGCAAACTTGTCGCAAGTAGGGCGTAATATTTCCGATATTTTCAATACGCGCCTATCTTCCTGGTGACACGTGCTCGTACACATCGACACTCGATGTACGAGCGTACACACGAAGCCGTTGTGAACGGGATGCGAGTATGCAAAAGCAGAACGAAGCCGGTAGCTTTGGGCTGTGTACACTCTATCCACCTGTCTCTGCAGCGCATTGTGGACCGGCGCAAGCCGTTTATCTGAAAGCACAATGCACTGTTTTCCTTCCAGAGGTTGGCCGTCCGTCAATGCCGCTGAAATGTAAAAATGAAGGAAAACTCTAAGCTGCTGAAGGCAAACTCGTTATTTCCGACCGACGCGTTACTCATTATTTTCGAAAAAGTAGACAAAAGCCGCCTAGGGCAGATTTAAGGGATGGTACAGTCGATATACCGAAAAAAAAAAGAAATTCTTCAATCCGATTAAATCAGTGTAATAAAAAGCGAGTAAGTATTGCTAATTAAACAGCCAGTAATAATACCAATAACTGTATTAGTAGCATTAATAATGATATTACTAATAAATATAGAAATATCGAAAAAATGTAATCGCCTCGTCGGTCAAGATGGCTTATCGTGATCGACGACCTATTCGCACTGACAAACCAATAAGACGATCCACGCTAGCCGCGCGTAGTAGTTCGAAGGCGAAAGAAACCGATCGATCACACCCCCGCCTCTCACTTTCGGGAAAGTAATTGTCGACAACGAAACGCATAAAAAGCGGTATATATCTTTGGAGAAATCTGGTCCTGATTACGTGCTAACGCATTCGACGTCTCGCGTTTCCCTCATATCTCCCTTTTTCCCTGGTCCCTCTTCAAAAGCTAATTTACGAATCCGACATCCATCAACCGGGAAAAATATTACACGAGTTGCCGTAGCCGGTTGCCAAAATCGGGATGCGGAATATTGCGCGCCGGCGTTCCGCATCGGATACATATTTAAAAAAAAATTTTTTTTTAACGGAATTTGGTTCTACATTTGTGACAATTGAATAATATTTTAATGTGAATTTATTCGCATGTGACTCCGGTATGCATGAAATTTTAAAAAGCCTCTCGGGGCATGTATGCGGGCGCGACATTATATAATTACACGTTGCGCAAGCGAGTACACAATTTTCGTTGTCATTAAAACGCGCTCGCGCTTTTTTTCACTCTCGTATATTTAACGACGAAAAGCGCGTCACCCAGTGAAATGTTCGACCAGCCGTAGTTGAAATAATTTACGTGTATAGTTTCGCGAGAACGCAATGCGACAGCTGCACTTTCGTTATCTGGCAAACGGAAAGGACCGGCCCCGGCGGAACGCGCTCGCGTCGCATTCACGTATTTACCCGCACGTTGATTAAACTCCGTGCAGGCGACGGCTATTTATTCATATTTTCGACAGGGTAGTTTGCTTCAAAGGACGATTGCAGTTGAGTGACATGACTGGGCTTTTATCGGCGAAATCGAGTGCGCCGTACACTTCATTTTCGATTCGCTTCGTATCACAACTTCATTGACGAATAAATTCTATACCGAGTTGATGCACACACGCAAATGGGCAATGAAGACATTTAATTCTGTGAGAGATTTAATGAATTTATTTTATTACATTTGTTTAAAAGATGCGATGAACTTCTGCGTTATCTTAGAGAGGATAATTCGAAATTTTTGAATATATTAATATAGCTCTCTATACGATATTATACGCGTCGTAACGGTGTGAAAGAAATACTGAAAGAAATTCGTCCCACGATCGCATAATTTGTCCCCTGGTCGACGGACGAAGCCTGCAAGTGATAATCGGTCGCGCCTTTAAATCACCCGAGCAACGACGCCAAAGCGAGTGCCCGTGCTTTAGAGCCCGAGGAGGGGGGGGGGGGCCGTAATTGATTAAATAAATCCGCGTCGGCGTATTTCACGGCGTGAGGAATCACTCGTCGCGCGCTTTGGTTGTCGTCGGTCCACGCGCGCGTTCTACCAGGCGAGAAAAAGAACAGCTCCCAAGGACCCGTAAAACTTCCAGGCAAAACGGATTTACCGGGCATTCCGGTGCCTTTATTGGCATTCGGCCGACGATAAAAATAGTCGCCTCCGCTCTCTCCTCGTCGCCCACGTTCCTTCCTCTCGCCTACCTCTCATCCCCCGATAGGTCTATACATCAGCTCACGTAAAACCCAAGCCTACCCCTCTTGTACTAGCATTTACCGTCGCCCCCTCCCCTCCCTCTCTCTCTCTCTCTCTCTCTCTCTCTCTCTCTCTCTCTCTCTCTCTCTCTCGCAGATCGGTGTCACCGCAGGTTGCGGCACCCTCGGCCGTAGGCGATGTGTGCAGCGCGAGAGAGCCTCGTTCACGTGGCTCTCGCATTAGAGCTTTCGCAATTTGGGAACTCGGAGGGTAGACGACGCGCGTTCAAAGTCCCATCAGGTCGGACGATACAGCTTCGGGGAATAACAGGAGAGGGGTGCGACGCACGGTAGCGGCAGCAACGGCGGCTTAATCACCCGACTAATTCCGAGCGTTTCGCGGTGCACTTGCATAGTATACATGCATCGGGACCGGATTCACTCGCCGGTGATAAATTATTAATGTCCTATGATTCGTACTATTAATGTGATCTGAATTACACCGGTGCCGGAGTTACTTCAATACCACTTGATAAATTGCAGTTACCAAAACATCGGTCCGTAATTACTGCTCGTTCCTTAATTATAGATGAGTCACTATACATATATAAATGCCGTTGTTTATTTACACTTCTATAATATAAAAATAGTTTCATTATCGTGATAAACATGATGTATTAATATTTAAATAATCTCTAGAGAAATTATTTTGTGTCATACATATTTCGCAAAATTACGTTCTCAATTATTAATGCTTGTTTTAGTGCCGAAAATTAATATTAATAAAAACTAGAATAAATAATATATTGCAATATATTTAGTGTACTAATAAAGGGTATGCGGCATTAATGCATGGTTGACGAAGAGGCGTGTGTTCGTAGTATTCAGCCGTTGGGAGCAACTAAGTGAAGCTTAACGATGTTAGCTGTTGTCTGGAAGGTTCATAACGATCAGCATCAAATTACGGTAGCCCCTCCGCCCTGATGAGTACTTAGTTTACCTCGAGGTGCCGAAAATACGGTTTTTATCGATTTAATGGCTAGACGCTCGATTAAAAAGAAAAATAAACCCGAATTCTATCTTAGCTCGCCTTTTACCTTAATTACCTTTTTAAAAAATATTCGATTTATTTGAAAAACTACTCGTTGCGTTTATACATTTATATATATATATATATATATATATATAATTTAAAATAAAAAACATTTTTAAAGAAAAATATAATCATCTTATTGTTAGTAGTGATTATATATTTATATGCTATATCATTCATTTATTTATTACTAATTTGGTGAAATTTTTATTTTTACAGCTAGTATGAAAACGTATGTAAATCAACGAGAACTTACCAAACAAAAGAGACGGCTCCACGTCGCGTACCGAGAGACTGGACGACGCCTGAGACGCGCTGGATTCGATACTTTGAGTACATCTGAGACGCTTCCTGAGTTTCGGCATGTCGAAAGGTAGATCCCTTAGGTCCACACTGGTCGCGCTTCCGGACGTAGTGGCATCCTGTTGCATCAACAGCCGTCTTCTTCGCAGCTTCGGCATGTCGAAGGGCAGATCCGAGAGTTCCGGCTCGTTGTCGACGAAATTAATATTGTCAAGCTGCGGCTTCAACAGGTGAAATCCGAAGGGTTTGCACTTAATGCCGGCGCGCGACTCAATGGATATACCGCTGTCCGATCCCTGGATCTCCGCGTCGCCCGACGACGACGACTGCAGAGCGAGATTAATGAGATTCTTGTTCTGCGGCGTGCGCCGCTTCTTAAAGGACGTGTCCATGGGCGAGGTGACTGCGTTCGTGTTGGTGTTGTTGCCCACCGTGACGTTATTCTCCGCGGTGACGTTCTCCTCGGGCGAGGCCTTCTGCGAGTTATTGTTGCGATTGTTGTCGGAGGTCTCCGAGGCCGGCTCTTGCGACGACTTGTCGGAGATTGGCGAGAGGATGTGCAGTTTGGTGGCGTGGTGGTGATTTAGAAAGCCGGGCAGCGTCTGTTGATGATGATGGTAGCAGTTGGTGCCGCCGGTGCTGTCGGAACTGTGGGAGCTCAGTGATCTGGTGCTGTGCCGACTGTCGGAGCTGCTGGTCGACCTGTTGCCCTCGCTGGTGCTACTCCTGATGGACTCCATGCTGCCGCCGCTGCTGCTGGTCGCCATGCTCTCAGTGCTGGAGTAACCGATGCGTCGTCTCGAGGTACGTAGCTTGAACTCCAAGAGACCGGCGTCTCTGCGCGGCCGCGCGACATCGCCCTCCGCTTCGTGGGGCCTGCCCTTGAACTCCATTATCGGCCTGCTCTCGCGGATCAGACTGCGCGGTCGTTGCCTCTCCTCCCGGGGCCTGTCCTTGAACTCCAGTATAAGCTCCTTGTCGAATCGCCGACCCGACGAATCAACGTTCTCCTGGACGAAAGTTTTCGGCCGACTTTTGATTTCGAGAATGCTACCCTCGCTGCTCTGTGGCGAGTCCTTGGCGCGCAGCAACGATTTCACCGGTAATCTCATGTCCTTCAAGCGGGGATGATCCTGCTGCGAAGGTAAATTTGGCGCACTGCGAATGTTTAATAGCAAATGGTCTCGGTTTCCATGAAATTTCGCAGGTAAGGGTGCAGTCGATGGCGGTGACGGTGTGTAATCACGCGCCGGTAATCTCGGCGATCCGGTTTTCTCGTCGCTCGAATTAATTTGGAGGGATTCGATATCCTGGGACAAACTAGATATATTGTCTGATTGTTGTTGCGATTGTTGTTGCTGCTGTTGTTGTTGCTGCTGCTGCTGCTGCTGTTGCTGCTGCTGCTGTTGCTGTAAGCGGCTCGGAATCGGTTTTGGGCGGAGAAGTACGACCTTACGACGGTCCTTGCTTGATTGCGTCTGGCCGGCATAAGGAAGCGATTGCTGATGTTGCTGCTTCGACGTGTCCGTTGACGAACTCGTTCTACTCACTGGCGCGGTACCGCTACCTCGAATCTGCGTTTTATTTTATTCAAAATTTGCTTTTACAAATAGATAATAACATGTAGCTTACTTGTGCGCTGAACAGAGTAAAATTCAACAAAAAGTATTATTTAGAAATAAACAGCAAAATGAAGGCAAGACAGTTTGCAAATAAAAATTCTGTGAACGTATCTAATTCAATATCAAAGCAATAACTCAATTAATAATAAACCTCTGAATGTACATACCTGAGAATGCAGTACCGCGTGATTGGTGACGCGATCGAGATCGTCGAGATCGTCGTCGGAGCGATTGACCTTGCAGTCAAAGGCCGTCTCGTAGAGGTGACGTTGCCTGGCCATCCCTTCCTCGTCCTCTTCCTCGGGCTCCGCGTCCTCCTCGTCCCCCTCCTCCCCCTCGTCCTCACCCTCCACGTCGTCCTCGTCCTCGACGAGTATCGGCTGCGGGTCTATTCTCCGCGTACGTCGTAGCTTGCGCACTTGGTGCCGCGCCACTTGCGGCTGCCGTCGGTCTAGCTCATCCTCCTCCTCTTCGGGCGATGCGACGCAGGTACAAACGGCGGTAGGCAGATCATGGCTCAGCAGCCTATGTGGCGGCATGAGGGTGTGATCCCACTCGGTGATGATGCACGACGAGAGGATCTCGTTTCTAGCTGGGACAGCATGCTCGCTCCCCGACGTGGGGCTAACTAGATCCTGACTGCGATAGTGCGGCGGTAGCGGCGGCGGTGGATACGGCTGCTGCGGTTGCTGATAATACCGTGGCTGGGAGTACGAGTACGAGCCTCCATCACCCGCTACCGAGTTTCTCTTGGGTATACCGGGTGTGCGCGAACGCTCGCCCGGTACATCGAGACTTACGCTTTTGCGGTACTTGCTCGGCTGCGATTTGGACAGTTGCTCCGGCACCTTGAAGAGATCGCCGTAGTAATACGGCGACGGGTGGCGCACGGGTTGAGCGGACTCGGTCGGGGATTGATCAGTGAGATGTACTAGAGCGACGCAGTCCACGAGCAGACCGTCGTTCGAAATTAAAGTATCTCTGTCCGCCGATGGGGCACGATTCGAAGAGGAAGCGTAGACACTGTTCTTCCGTTTTCTAACGATTACCGCTCGCCCGTCCTCGTCGTCCTCGCAAGACGAACCGGACGCTGAAGGATCTGAAAATTCATCAATATAAAACAATAATTATAAGATGTTACTCTATTAACGAAAATTATAAGATTTTACTCTATTAACGGAAGCGCTACTAATTGCAAATTACAAACATAATTTGTATGTATAATTCTTGAATAATTTGATAATTTATTATTAGCCGACTTTAATTGTCAATTTTATTTTTAATTTGATGATGCTACGTATAAAAAATAATTTCAGTTGGTCTAAAACGCTTAAAATATATATCGATGTAATATATAGAAATGACGAAGAACTCGATCGATCGTGAACGCAAAGATTTCAGAAGATTTACGTGTAAAAAGATGTCCTAGCCATACAAAGCTCACTTGCGGGAACCCCGAAAAGGGCGCGAAATTTTCATAATCGTCCTGTTGTAAAGGAAGCCCGGGGAGGACTCGAGTCGCCGAAGGAAGAGAACGAAAAAGCTTACGGGGAAAGCAAAATTGCCTTGAAATGGCAGCCTTATCTCCTTAAAAATCACTTCCTCCGTCCGTGGGATATTACCGTAATGGTCCTCGGCTTCCTTGCCTGACGTCCCATCCTCCACCCCACATCTTGTCCAACCACCCCTTTCAGCCTCTTCGCATTCGTCGACCCGTTCGAGCATCTAAAGCTCATCTAATGCTTCTTTAGGCTTTACGATCGTGTCACGGCCATTCGCGACAAGAAACGAGAGAAAGAGACAGCAAGATCAAGCGAATGGAGGAGGCACGAAATTACGCGACACCCGGTACATTATATAGGCAAGGTACACATGCGGAATAGACGAAAGGACTGAAGATAATGGGCGCATTATGCTCGACCGGAGAGGGCCCCACCGAAATCCTTCCTCGTTCCCCTCCCTCCTTGCGAGGGCGGCAAGAACGAGATGCGCCATAAACTACGTTGGTTGCTGCTTTTGACAGGGCGCCGCCGCGAATAAACGGACGAACTTGCCGAACGGGAGAAAAAAAAAATTATTATCGGAAGCCGCTCCGGTCCATCGCATCGTCCATCCAGCATCCGGATTGGACCAGACACAAAGGCTCGCGGCATCAGGATGCGGATATCGACCGCTTAGAGTGCAATCCGGCGGTCTCTGTACGTCTCTTTGTCGCCAGGTAATTTGTTTCTGATCGATCTCCGTGCACACAATATGAGTAATCATATCGCGGGCGCATTATATGTACACAATGTACACGTTGTTATTTAACGGTACGAATCGCGCTTTGAGCATTTATCTTACCATTCAATACGTTCAATTTCGTTAACATTCACGATTTATTTAATGGAAACTCTGCCAACTCGATTTTCCCAGATTACATAATTTTCTGTATTAAAGAGATATATATTACTATATACGCTACTACAATACAATAGATATTTTATAATTACTAGACTGTATGTCCACCCGACTAAGCTTTAATAATTTCGAGTTTATTAAATTCAACGCAGAAAATTATGCGCTGATTCAGTAGAACGAATATTACGCTAAATTTATAAATAAATTGAGAAGAACCGACGGGCGTTCAGTAGAACACGGATTTACATACTTCATGGTATTCATCGGATAAAATCACTGTGGGAGCCATAACACGACAGGATATCCCCAATTTCCGGCGTATTTCACTATCACGAGAGGGCCTGAACTTCATTTTCCACGGTCAAATACAAAAGGAGTGGCGGCTGGGGGATTCGCGGAGCGCAAAATGGGGAATTAATTCCTGGACAATGAATTCGGCAAATTATCGCACTACCCGTAAAACCGCGCGCGCGGGGGAACGAATCGCGTGCGATTCCATTTTATCTTCTCCTTCGAATTCGCGGCGCATTCTTGGCAGCGGGTGACAAACGGCGAAGGAGTCTCGGATACGAGAAGCTGTGCGGAAGAAATGGTCCCTGCGAAACCAGACGTTGTCTACGTATTCAAACTTTCACAAAGGGCCAGGATCGCGGAAGGCGACTGATGATCCAACCCTCCCATTCGCGAGAATGAAAAACGGTCGCGAGGATCCATTACCTTCTCTTTTCACCTGCAGCTACTTTTCCACCGACTCTGTTCGGCGAAACTTTTCATCGTTAAACTTTTAAACATTTAAAAATGGTGCGGTATGCGGGTAGAGTTCAGAGAACAGTGTACCGATCCACGGGATTAATGGTAAAAATACAACACCGGATGCGGCGGCATCAAGAGAGGAATGCTAACGAGGAAACGCAATATTGTTTGCGCAGTTGGTGTAATATCACGATAAAATTATATCAGAGAAACGTGCCGAGAGATAGGGGAACCCAATCCTCGGGGAACAAAAAACAAGATAAAGAAACCTACCGGCGGGAGTGAGATCGAAGAAGACATGAATATGTATTTGCATCTGTTTCGTTCGTGCAACTCAAGCAAGAGGATTAAATCTCTCTCTCTCTCTCTCTCTCGGGAAAATAAACATATTAAAATACTGCAATAAGCAAGAAAACGCTATTTGCGTTTGTTACAATATTTGAAGCAGCCTACGATTGAATGGAGAATAAAGCTCTTTGTTTCGAAAAGTTAGAATATGACGTATGACGACACGCGATTGTTTTTATGCTTTTGTGATGCATAGGAGGTACACAAAAATTACGTTTGAAGGCTGTCCTACATACGACCAATTGTATCGCCCACCCGCATCGAGACCGATTATCCGTTCGCGAGCGAGAAAAACTGCAATGGACAGCAATGGCCTTCCAATGAACGCGCACACAAACGTATAGGTATACAAAAGCATGCTGGCATGTCGCCAAATTGCAGTGATATTGATTAACGATCGATAATCTGATTTGCGAGATATCCATCGCGAGGGTCGACTACACGAAAGGGAGAATAGCTAGAAGGTTGATGATCGAGCAGTTCGATTAAATTGGACTGGATTACATATAGCAGTTGAAAAAAAAATGCGCACGTGTGACGTAAACGAATTTTTTGAATTGACGAGCAAAATTCGGGACAGCGGTTGAGCTCAATTAGTTATCTGCAAATGGCGCGTATCTGTGGAAATTTAGAGTAATATAAATTAGATATAATTGTGAAGAGACTAGTATCTTTTCTAAATGATCATTCATACATTTTACTGAATTATTTTTTATTATATGATAAAAATATAATTTTATGTAAAACATAAAATTATATTTTTTACATAATTAAAGCCCAGGAAGCAAAAATAAGTGCTATATAAAATAAAACTAATAGTGAAAAACCTGCTTACGAATTCGGACGAATTAATGGCTAATTATCGTGTATAACGATGCACGCTCGGACGTGTAGACGAGTCAGTAACGGATACTACATACGAATGAGTGATCGAATGACAGAAAATGAAAGAGGGTACGTGTATGCAGAGCCAGGGGTGACAATACGCCGGGGGTAGGCAGCGGTGCCTACCCTAATGAATCTATTACGGCCAGTGAGCGACAACCCTCGCCTAGCAATCACTGCAGATAACACGAAACGCTGTCGCATGCATCCTGTTTACATGAGTCTGTAGATAACGAAGATGAACGTCCAAGGCGATCCATCTCGGATTTATACAATGCGGAATCAATGTGCGAACTAGACGAGGAGGCGAAAGAAACTCGCGTGCGCTAGAATTGTTATCCGCATCGATTAAGGTCAGTAGAAAACGATATTATGATTGCAATTAATTTTCGATTAGGAACGAAGTCGTCAAAGGTCACGAAACGCGATCCGCTGTGAAAAATCGTTTATGAACTCCGTAACGATATATATCTCATATTACCTGCCCCAAATCATTGGGAATAATTAAATAGAACAATCCAAGCTCGATTTGGTTCAATGTATAATTATGGTTACTAAATAATCAAATAAAGCTTTTAAGTATACAAATAATATTATACCACTAAATAAATCGCAAATTTAAACAATATAAATTAAAGTCTAAGATTGAACAAATAATGATGTAATATTAATCGGAGTTTTCGGAATGCGTTTGGAATTATTTAAGTTACATATATAATTACATATTTGTGCGCAAATGACGATAATCATGCAATCCTATTCCGAAGAAAGATCATTCCGATAAACGTTATAACACATATATGTGTCTCGCCGTGCTGTTGGCACAAAGCTCCAGAACTATTCCAGCGGTATTTTATCTTGGGATCAGACTCTCGATTATATGATAATCCGGAACACGTGACTTCATCTAGAATCGCGACGGTCGTAATGCCGCCAATGCCGTTTATGCAATCTTTCGCTTCCTCTGCGATTGACGGCCAGCCGCGGTAGAGCGGGAGAAATTCCGAGGAAATCTTTATATAAAGAAGACCGCACCAGCACAAGCTCGGAACCACTTCGCTCCGCTTTTTATTAGATATTGTCCCCGTAACGTGGCCGAGGTGGCGATAGTGTGTCTGCGGGATATGTGGATCGTGGATCCCACGGATTGTATCGTCTTTAGGACGGAAGAGAAAGAAAACGATAAAGAAGAGGTAAGGAAGGCATAAGATGGGCGGCGCAATTGCCCGACCTCGGGACGATATTCTCGGCCAACGTTCGGGAGGATCTTCAGGGCGTCTTACGGAGCGGCTGAAGATTACGAGCCGCTCAGAGCCGAGCGGCGACGAAACGAAAGCCAATCTCGGTTATTGGCTCCGTCGCGCCAAGGATCCACGGTTACGATCGCGAGATTGGCCAAAGTATCTCGTGCGAAATGTGTCAGTCGTGTCAGGGGTCGTGGAAGATCGTGACGCTTGGTCGCGCGAAGATGAACGTAAATCATCCGAGGATTATCAAATACGTCCGGGAAGTAGATACCGAGCTGATAAACGTAGCGATAAGTTCCTGTCCCGTTGTTATGCAAAGCAGCTCGAATTAATCAATTAGTGTCGCCTGTAATCTCGCACTGTCGTAATGTATGATTACAGCAAAGATTATTCGTAGCGCATGGCGACAGAGCAATTCTGTAGAGCATCGGTGTCTCTTTTTTTTTTTTATAAAAGTACATCTTCC